TTTTGGTTGATTCTAGCAGTCACAAGGTTGGCTACTTTGTCCAAAACAGAAAGGGAGAAATTAAAAATGTATTCCAAGTGGATGGCTATAGGAAGGTTTTTCTTCCTTTGTTGGTGTTTTTGGCATTAAGTGTTCACCTCTGCTAAGCAGTGTGGACTTGTTGGAACTGGAAGCAACACAGAAGTCTCTCTCCCCAGTGAAGCCAAATTCCCCAGCTATGAAAGTGATCATGGTCCTTGTTGCTAAGATTCCCTCTGAGCAGCCGGAAGAGATCATTAGATGTAAAGTTCACCTTGGGCCTGGCCTTGAAGAGCAAGCAAATGGCAACAATCTGTACCATCCCCTTAGCATTTCTATTTCTATTCACAGTACAGAATGGTTTTACTCAGCAGGATATGAACAATGATACCAAAGACCCAACACAACAAACTTACTCTATTGAAAAATTGGCCAGGAAAATTAAAAGCAAACATGTTAGGAAATTAAAAGTAGAGCTTATTAGGAATGCTTTCAGCAAAAGCAATAAAAAACCCAACTAAGAGCAATTTAAGCAATAAAAACATTGAATTAACTCACATCAAATGTCAGGACGTGGATGGGCAATCCCACATTTGGTGTGAGAGCTCAGTAATATCATCAGGTTTGGTGTTGGCTTTTTGCTTTATGGTCATAAAATGGCTGCTACAGCTCTAGTCATTGTGACCTTATTCTAGTACTCCAATCAAGGAAAAAACGGATAAGAACAAAAAGCTGTTAAACCGAGGTCTAATTTTTAGCCCCAACAGAATCTTTATTATATCTCTTTGATGAAGCTGAATTTCCCACTCACACCTGAACTGGCTAGGGGGCATATGTGGCTCCACCTCATTATACCAGTGTTGCTTAAACCACTCATACCTTTTCCCCCCTAGGACTGAGGAGGGTATACTTTGACTGAGATCAAGGGACTCCACTTACTACCTGAATAAAACCTAGATTAGAGTTCTCTTAGATAAGAAGAATGTGTATGAGGCAATCACAATCACCAGTGTCCATTACAATATGTCCTTCCTCTCCTATTAGACTGAAAAAAGAAAACAACCGTGGAATAGTACATTCCTCTAAAGTTATTCCTTTAGATTTCTCTAAAGTTATTCAATCGTATACCCAAAATCAAGAGAACTGGATTCATTTCTTCTTTTTTATTTTTTTTCAAATAATTCCTAAGATGAAGATCATACAATTCTTTTTGGAAAAAAAGCTTTTCTAGCACTAACCTTTTTTTTTTCTTTTTTGGAGATATGTATGTATTGTCCCTTTGAATTTTTCAAAATTTATTTAAAAATATTAGTTGACACAGGTGGTTAGGCTTGTTTAGCAAAATTCAACACTTTTGAAACATACAACTGTGAATTTTTTTAAGAAAAGGGGATCTATTTCAAATGTGGTTGAATGAATGTGATATTTGTTGCACTACGAAATGATGACAAATGACATGGCTAAAATGTTGCTCTGATCTTCTAAAAGGATTCTTTGTTCTATATCTGGATGTAGGTGATGTTTTGAGGAATGCTTTTTAAGATATTTAGGAATTTTTACTCAAAAATAAATTTGAGATGATATTAGCCAAACTCTCTACAGAGAAAATTTTAAGTTATCCTTATGTTACTTTTATTTTCCCTCATCTCTTTATGGAGTATTTAATTATGTGGCATAAAAATTGGAGATATTTCTTCTTAGGTATGACTCATAGTTTTTCCCACAGTGCATAGTACTTTGTACATTAAAAATGTACTTTGAGAAGTCTATATATGTCCAGAAATGCCATAGTTTTTTTTTCCCTTTCAATCCTCTGACCTGGTAGGTGGGTTGCTTTTTATAAAATTGAAAGTTGTTTCACAAATTTTTTTTTTCCTTGAAAATTGCAGTGCAGAAAAAATAGATTATCTCTCATCAGAGGCACAAAGTAGATTATCTCTCAGTGGGCAAATGTAGTAACAAATGTAGTTAACAAATATAGTAAAGAAAATTAATCACGTGAAACTTCTGGAATTCTTATTTTTCAAGGACCTGAATAGGAACCTTTAAGATATTTTTCAGATTTCTTTATGTTTTAGTCATTGAGCAATACAGCATTTAGGAGCTTGGATTTAGAATCAAACATGTAAGTTCAAATTTTGCTTCTATTAGTTACTACTTGTCTAGTAGTGTAGTAGTGAAAGTCGCTCAGTTGTGTCCAACTCTCTGCAACCCCATGGACTGTAGCCCACCAGGCTCCTCTGTCCATGGAATTCTCCAGGCAAGTATACTGGAGTCGGCCACCATTTTCTTCTCCAGGGGATCTTCTCAATCCAGTGACTGAATCTGGGTCTTCTGCATTGCAAGCAGATTCTTTAACATCTGGGCCACCAGTCTAACTTGGGCAATTTGATGAGTTTCTTCAAATATTAAACCCCTTAGCAGTTAAAGAATGAATGTTTAAAAGGTAAAATAATTCTCATACAAGTATAAAATGAGATAAATATAATACAATTGAAAATAAAAATATAAAATGAGATAAATATAAATGCATAACAAAGATTCTTAAACTCAGTAATTAATAAGGAAAATGTTTAGCTGTTGTAACTTGCACAAAGGAGAATTAATATTCACCCTCATACTATGCTATTACAGATACTGAAGTGAATTTGCTAATGGATGCAAAGTGGTCAGTAGGCATTAATTGGTTGTGTCTCCACCAGACAAATCTTACTTGCATTTCGTTTAACAAGAATGATTTACATTGCATCAGTTTTCTACAACTTGCTGAGTTGTAAAATAATTAAGACAGTGAAAGATGATAGCAATCCAATCACAGGGAAGAAGGTACTAGACTCTGCAGTTTCCCACCTAGGGCATCCATTAACTGCTTCTAGGGAGAATGAATGCAATTGGAATTGCATTCCTTTAGATTTCTCTAAAGTTATTCAATTGTATACCCAAAATCAAGAGAACTGGATTCATTTCTTCTTTTTTTTTTTTTTTTCAAATAATTCCTAAGATGAAGATCATACAAAGTCTATTCTAGACAATAACCAGGTGCCCGAGTTTGAAATCAAAGATCTTCTGATTTGCAAGAGCGTGGCTTTTTAGAGTAAAAGTTCTTCCTGAGTTCCAAACACTTCCTTTAAACTTCAAAAAATGGTCTTTAAACCAGTGTGCTGGAGAGCACAGGGGGAGCAATGTCATTTTCTCATCCTTTCCAAGTATGGATGGAGGAGGCTGGAGGGAAAGGAAACCCCGACAGTGACCTAACATGTTCCTTGACACCTCTGGGTTGTTTCCTACAAAGGGCAAAAAATGCTCCAAGATGGAGATCCAGATAAGGATGCTGAGAGCAGAGGAGCCTGACCAGGTTTCCCACTTGGGATTCTGGGAGGAGGCAGCCTCACAGTATTTCCAACTTTTGTATGGGATGATTGTGAGAGAAATAAAAATATGGCAGCATGAAATATGCAGGGTGAGAAACAGCTCAACCTCCATAACAACCTCCATCCCCGATTTCCTAGACTTCCTAGTTTGGGGGAGATTCCACAGGTGGGGTATTCTTAAGTGCTGGGTGAGGTAAAGAAGGTACAGAGGACTCACAGCTCCGGAACCTAGGGCTCAGACGGCAGGAGATTCTGGCACTCCCCACAGCAGACAAAGCAGGGTACAGCCGCTGCAGACACTGCAGGACAGGGACCAGGGCCGTAGATCACAGGGGAGGCGACACGGCAGCAGAGACCTGAGAGAAAAGAGGCAGCATTCAGACAACCAGACACCACCCCCCACACTCAGACAGCCTTCTGAGTGTCCTTGAGAGAGGAGAAAGTTCTACATGAAGTCTGACCTTTCCAATAACTGACCCTGGACCCTAAGTCAATTACTCACCCTAAAGTGTCTATACTCCAACCCACAGTGACTGAATTGACCTGAACTGGACAACTTCCGTTATTTCCACTATGGCGTTAAGCATTAGGCACAACAGTGACACACGTGAGACAGTACGTCATGGATGTTTTACAAAAATAATGTAGAATAAACCCATCTGCCACAGTACCTTACTATTGCAAGCACCTCTACTAGAAGCATCTCACCATCTTTCATATATTTTAGTTATTTATACAAGTATTTCTCACTAGATTCTGGTGAAGCCCACTAGCTTCTGGCCAGACCTATGTTTTGTGAATTGTTTTGTAACACCTCGCCTGTACATAGTAGGTACTCAATAAAAAATGTTTGGTGAACTGAGCTGTGTTTTTTTTCTTAAAGTTTCAGGATTTCTTTTTCAAAGGATAAATATATTCTCCACTCTGCAACAATTTCAGAGCTGAAAGGGTATTAGTGGTTTTAATTTTATTTCTATCGTATATCTTCATTTTATTTTTTAATTGAAGTATGGTTGATTTATAATATGTGTCAGGTGTACAGCAAAGTAATTCAGATATATATATATATATATATATATAAACAGATATTCTTTCTTAGATTCTTTTTCATTATAGATTATTACAAAGTATTTAATACAGTTCCTTGTGTTTATCATGTATTTTCTAATTACAGAATCATTAAAAGTGTGTGCATATACCCATTCCGTATATGTGTATATATACATATGTGTGAACATACATGTATAGTGATGATATCACATGGCTCTTAAGTGGCTTGATTCCTCTATACTGACTAGTGTGCCTTCACCATACAGGTCATGCTCATGGTCTTGTATTCTGCTGGGGGATTTGGGCAGTAGTGACTATCGTGTGGACATCCATGCCTCTTCTGGAGCAGAGGAGCACCTGGCTCCCCCTTCGCGCAGCTGACCATGATCGGGTTGCTGCCAGTCGCTACACACTAGACCTTCATTGAACTGTCAAAGTTGTTTTATCATGCGTGGCTAGGTCATTTTTTTTTCCCTGACATGTTGAAATTAACCCAGAACTCAGCATTGTGTAAAGTCACTGAATTGTTCTTTCTAATAGACATTTCCTTTTATTTAACAGTCATGTTTTTACCTGCCTGAAATTGCCGTGTCTGGCATAGAAAGGTGCAAGCTGCATGAGTACAAGGAGGACAGAAGCTCACAAATCTCAGCGTTGCAGAGTGGCTGCTTGTCGCATGGTGTCACCTGACCCCAAGGACAAGTCCCTAAGTACCTCCTAGGAAGAGAACCTGCTGGCTAAGTGCACCAAGACATCTGGTATGTTGGGAGGTGAGACCCTGATGTTGCCTTAAGATCTCTGAGCATGACATCAAGTGCTACCCCTCTCTCCTGTGATGTCTCCCCATTCTTGGTGACTCTTGCCTTACTACCGATTCTGCACGCTGACTCGGCACCCTTGCTCCGTTTGCTGATACTGGTCATTCCTCTTTTAAGCTACTCTCCACTACACTTGAGTGCATCCTAATAAGCATTATCCTGTTCTACTCGACTCATCTCCGACTTGCTGAAGGTGGTCTCAGGATGCAGACGTGAGTACCCTTCTGCCTTGCCTTTAACTCTCTTCCTGATTATTTATGAGATGTCTGAAGTGCTAGCTCTGTTAATTGCTGGCTCAGGGAAGATTTCATGACCCGTCATGTCACCTCTGATGGCACCTTTGAGCATTTATTAAGAAGTGTGCTTAAGTGTGCCTCACCAAATGGCCTGAGATAGTGACAACTTTTGGTAGACCATTCTCAACACCTGTTAATGGATTTTATTTTTACTCTGGATGGCTAAAATGTAAACTTTTATAACTAATGCAAAGTTCTAAGTCTTTGTAGTCCAAAATATGAGGTCTTCATAAAATCTTCCTGACTTCTAAACTGCAACAACTTAAGTTTAAACTGCACAGCAATGTTTAAGTATTGTTCAAAACAGATTTATTTAAGCTTCAGACCATATAACACAACTATGCACAACATACTCTTATTTCAGATTCTATTACAAAAGATGGCTACCATACAAGGAGAGGTTAGCTGCCCCCTTGGCTTATAGAATGTAAGTGCGGTCCAACTGTGAGAAGGAAATTCACTGCTTACAACCAGGAAGATACAGATGGTTTATATCATTCCTGTAGTCTAAATTATTAAAGTTAAAATGTTTAAATCAGCACCTGGACTTTATAAAAGCTCTATGCTACAGATAGATTCCAAATTGTTTAGCAGTACAATCATAACGGCTTATGTTATTTTCTAAGAAATTTTCTTTTGAAATTACATTACTGTTTGATGCTTCTCAAAGTTGATTTGTGGGTGGGGTCTAGTCTGAGAGAAATCTGCTTTTATTTTTGACAGATAGCAAAATGAAAGAAACATTTTTAACTCTTTTGCCTCTTTTTCTTTCGAATTACTCAAAAACATCTAAACCTTAAAACACTAGGCAATCTTTGAAGGTTGAGCTCGATGAGAAAAGCAAATTGGAGAAAGTTCTCCAAAATGTAATAAAGTGATTTAAAAGGTGGTTAAAGCAATAAAGATTTTAGCCCAGTCGATTAAAGCACATCCAAACATTCACCAGTGGTTCCTCCCTAGATATGAATGCAGAAACAGCCAATTTAGATAACCAGTCAATTTGAACTGTTAAAAAATTAAACAGAACATTTGATTGAAATGGTTGCTGGACAAATTCTTTTTCAGTGCCTCTCTGGCTTTCTGTGCCCCAAAGGTCATGAATTGTGTGTGGAGGAAAAGCTGTACGGCAACCAGTAACTTACCTAGGTAATACATGTTACACTGAACCCCAAGTCTGCAGTTCCAAGAGTACAGATTCAATAGAGGTTCTATCAAAATAGTGAAAAGAATATATAGAAATGTGCTATGAGATTCACTTAATGCTCCATGTTTTCTTTTGCATAATTTCCTTAAATTTTGTCAAATCATATGAAATTGACTTTTAAATAAGTAAAATGGTAGGAGATAATTCTAGCCAGTTAGTTTTCCAAAATATTTTGCTGTTTTTGTTTTTACCTTTGTTTATGACTCTTCATACAACAGAATAGGGTCTTTATTTTTTGTGTTCGATCATTCAGGGTCTCATGCTCCTAATTCTGGACTTGAGTTCTCTTTCAAAACACCACATGTATATGTGAAATGGAGATGATGGGGCTGAACGTGAACTATCTCTAGGGTATGGGGTGGGAATTGCTTTGTTTTTCCTTATTCTATGGTATGAGTTTCTGTCCATCTCATTCCCTTCTTTCCTTTAAAAAGAATTGTAGTGTACAATCAATTATATAAGCCTCTCAAAGAAGAGGCTTTCCGGTCCTATTATTTGTATATATATATACACACACACATATTCATGTGTGTATGTGTGTGTGTATGAATAATATGACAGGAAAGCCTTCTTTTTGAGAGGCTTATAGGGTCAGGAAGATCCACTGGAGAAGGGATAGGCTACCCACTCCAGTATTCTTGGGGCTTCCCTTGTGGCTCAACTGGTAAAGAATCCACCTGCAATGCAGGAGACCTGGGTTCTATCCCTGGAGAAGAGAACAGCTACCCACTCCAGCATTCTGGCCTGGAGAATTCCATGGACTATATATTCCATGGGGTCACAAAGAGTCAGACACAACTGAGAAACTTTCACTTCACTTCATATAGTTGATTGTACACTATAATTCATATGGGCTCCTCTGGTGGATCAGCAGTAAAGAACCTGTCTGTCAGTGCAGGAGACAAGAGTCGTGGGTTCAGTCCTTGGGTCTGGAAGATCCTCTGGAAGAGGGGATGGCAACCCATATCAGCATTCTTGCCTGGAGAATCCCATGGACAGAGGAGCCTGGTGGATTACAGTTCATGAGATCACAAAGAGTTGGACAGAACTGAAGTGACTTAGCATATATATATAGATATATATATATATAGGTATATATAGATATATATATATAGATATAGATATATATATCTTTAGACATCAGTTTCAGGTAGCATAATCAATTTTACCAATTTTATTCAGTCTAACAAATCACATTCAGCCTGTGGAAACAGGCTTTCAAGACTACAGGCTGAGAGTACACAAAATTTGGAAAATACCTAAGTTAGAATTTTGTTGCCAATATTTGAACAACTGCAATAGGCTCACAGAGAATGTTATTACAGTTTGCTTACTTTTATGTGCCTAAAATATTGATTCCAAAAGAGTTTAGGGCAGAGTGGGAAGCATGGCACTGATGTAGAGTCTTCTGACTAGAGATCTGTTATTCCAGTTATAAAACTACCAAACTGGGCAGAAGACAAGCAGTCTATCAAATCAGCAGAGTAGTCAAGCTGAGGTTTCTTTGTGTTCCAGTGGTCCTTGAACATCATTCATCATATAATGATTGAGAGCCTGTTGGATGCCAGACAAGGGCTGGGTACTGGAATACAAGATTAAATAAGACATCATTCCCATCTTCCAGAGCTGCAGGAAGAAAGGATAAAAGGACAGATCAGTCAGTTCAGTTGCTCAGTCATATCCAACTCTTTGTGACCCTTGGCCTGCAGCATGCCAGGTTTCCCTGTCCAACAGCAACTCCTGGAGCTTGCTCAAACTCGTGTCTGTCAAGTCAGTGATGCCATTCAACCATCTCATCATCTCGTCTGCTTCTCCTCCTGCCTTCAATCTTTCCCAGCATTAGGGTCTTTTCCAGTGGGTCAGTTTTTCGCATCAGGTAGCCAAAGTATTAGAGTTTCAGCTTCAGCATCAGTCCTTCCAATGAATATTCAGGACTGAAATGGATAGATAAAGGTAGACAAATGAGTAAGTCACTACTGAATATGGTAGCTCTGAAATTAGAAATATTGACTTGGTGAGTATGTACACACACACACACACAAACACATACACAATCTGCCTGGTGTGTCTTTAACTCCAAGATTTTTGTGTGCTTTAACCATAGAGTTCTTCAAAAGGCAAATCTAATTACATCATCATCACTCATCCCTGATTAAAATCCTTTTATAGTCTTCTACTCCTTTGAGAATAAGAACAAAGCATCTTAATATGGCAGCCTCCAAGACCCCACATCACCCTGCTCTGGTTTCCCCCATGTCTTCTTCACAATATGGGTTCCAGCCATGCAGGCTTTTGATTTTTCTGGATGACTTTATTGAAATATAATCTACATACCATAAAAGTCACTCTTCACCTGTTTTAAGTGTACAGTTGAAAAAATTGTGATATATTTAGAGTTCCACAAACATCATCTCAATCTAAATAGAGAACATTTCCATCACCCTACAGGGAAACCTAGAATCCATATCCAGTTATTCTTTGGTCCAAAAACCCCAACTGCATCCTTGCGTTTTCTGGATGTTTTATGTAAGTATAATCACATAATAAGCATCCTTCTATGACTGGCTTCTTTCTCTGAGTATTATGTTCTTGAAGGTCATCCATGTTGCAAGCATGTTTTAGTACTTCATTTCTTTTTATTGTACAATAGTATTCTGTTGTATGGGTAGACCACATTTTATTTATCCATTCCTCAGCTGATGGACATTCGGGTTGTCACTATTTTAGGGGTGTCATGAATAATGCTGCCATGGACATTCATGCACAATCTTTGGGTGGACATACATCTTTTGCTGCTCTTGGATAGATATCTAGAAGAGGAACTGCTAGATCATATGATGTCTATTTTTTTTTAATAAAAAACTGTTTTCCAATACCTCCACCATTTCCACAGTTTCATATATTCCGTCCAGCCATGTAGGTTACAGTTTTCCACATTCTTGTCAAAGTTTACTTCTATCTACCTATTATAGCCATCTCTGTGGGTATGAAGTGGCATCTTATCATAATTTTAGGTTGTATTTTCCTAATAACATTCAAAAAACAAAGATCATGACAAAGATCCAGTCCCAACACTTCATGGCAAATAGATGGGGAAACAGTGGAAACAGTGACAGAGTTTATTTTCATGGACTCCAAAATCACTGCAGATGGTAACTGCAGCCATGAAATTAAAAGATGCTTGCTCCCTGGAAGAAAAGCTATGATCAACCTTTTTAATATGACAGCATATGAAAAAGCAGAGATATTACTTTGCCAACAAAGGTCTGTCTAGTAAAAGCTATGGTTTTTCCAGTAGTCATGTATGGATGTGAGAGCTGGACTATAAAGGAAGCTGAGGACCAAAGAATTGATGCTTTTGAACTGTAGTGTTGGAGAAGACTCTTGAAAATCCCTTGGACTGCAAGGAGATCTAACCAGTCCATCCTAAAGGAGATCAGTCCTGAATATTCATTGGAAGGACTGATGCTGAAGCTGAAACTCCAATACTTTGGCCACCTGATGCAAAGAATTGACTCATTTAGAAAGACCCTGGTGCTGGGAAAGATTGAAGACAGGAGGATAAGGGGATGATAGAGGATCAGACGATTGGATGGCATTACTGACTTGATGGACATGAGTTTGAGCAAACTCCTGGAGATGCTGAAGGGCAGGTAAGGCTGGCGTGCTGTGGTTCATAGGGTCGCAAAGAGTTATACATAGCTGAGTGACT